TTGGGTGCGTCGGTTGAACTTCAGAAGACGTCGTTCCAGCGCTCTATGGGTTGTTCGGAGTGCTTTTGACATTGCCGCAGTGTCAGGCCACGTCTGCGTAACAGAGAGCAGGGAGAACAGTTGAATCGAACAGGTGGGCTCGGAGCTCTGGGTCCGTAAGCTGGTCTGTGGCTTCCTTTAGGGGCCCGAAGGTGGCCCAAGCTGCTCTTCGCCTCCTGTCTAGTTCTTCCTTCAGATCGTGCTCCATGTTCATCGACGTCCGAGATACATGTAAGAAGACGTCTCCGCAATTGGAGAGCCCTCTAATTCCATTTCCTGATGCTCCCAAAAGGCGTTCTTCATGAACTGAGTCTTCTTCCTGTTGATTCGCAGTCCTACGCTTCCCTACTTCGTTTAGTTTCTTCAACATCGTTCCCGCTTCAGTGATATTTCTCGAGAAGATAACAATGTCGTCCGCGAAACGAAGATTCGAGAGGAATCTCCCATCAACTCGTATACCTCTCTCGTTCCAATCCTGTAACTTTATCAGCCATTGCAACGAGGCGGTAAACAGCTTTGGCGACACAGTGTCGCCTTGTCGAACCCCCTTCGAGATTGATATGTTAAGGAGGCGTTGGAAAAGCTGTACCGCTGTAGAGCAATTCTTGTAGCAGTCGGTCAATGTCCTCACGTAAGATGGGTCCACCCCTTGGTCGACAAACGCTGACAGGATGGCATTAGTCTCGACGCTGTCAAACGCTTTCTCGTAGTCGACGAAAGTTAGGAAGAGAGGTAGGCGGTACTCTCGGCAACCTCGATGATCCTCGAAACTGTCTGGATGTGATCCACGTAGCTGAATCCCTTGCGAAATCCAGCTTGTTCTACAAGTTGAGCCTCATCCAGTGTCCTAGATATACGGGCGAGAATAATTTTCGTAAAAAGCTTGTAAAGCACGTTCAGCAGGCATATTGGACGGTAGTTCCGAAGATCCTCATCGCCCTTCTTTTGAAGGAGAATTGTTCGGGAGGTTCTCCACTGGTTGGAGATCCTTTCCTTTTGAAGGTAAGACGTTAGATGTTCCGCAAGTATCTCGTGTAGGCGATCCTCCAGCTCGTAAGAGGTCGGCCGAAACACGGTCCGGTCCCAGAGCCGTGGCTGCCTTCATGGTCTCAATTCC